ATAGATAGATAGATAGATAGATAGATAGATAGATAGATAGATAGATAACAATAATTTTGGACCAATAATATCCAAATTTACACTAATAAACCAATTTCCAGAAAATATAAACTATTAGAGTGATTAAAGAGGAAACAGAAAATAAAAACAAAACAATCTTTTTAAATGAATTGAATTGTGGGACCCCAAACCAAAATCAAGAAAACAAAACAAAACAAAACACCCCATTGAAGCTCTAGCTCGTGCCTAGTGTCCTCAGAAGGAGGTCACCCTGGTTTGTAGCTCTGTGGGAAAGGGTGTTCGCTGCATGCACGAGGACCTGCTACAGTCCCAGCAGCTCTAATCCCAGAAGGTACAATCTGAACATAGATGGTAGACATGCCCGGAGCAGAGACAATGTGAAGACACGCAGAGAGAAGACCATGTGGCTGACTGAACATATCAGTGAACTAGGGACATGAAGGATGGCTAGCCAGCAAGTACCACAGCTAGCTAAGGAAGGAAGGTCCTTCCTGAGAGCCCTAGAGACCACCTACCACTCTGCCCAGACCAGATTTCAGACTTCTGTGTTGTGTTTGAGCACTCAGTTTGTGATACTTTTTCACAACAACATATATACCATTAAACAATATTCAATCAATAACCAAAACATAGGACTCCATTGCTGTTGGGAAGCCTTGGATAACATAGTCATTCCTACCTTATGTAAACAAACATTTTCAGAAAAGAAAAACTATGGTTGGTGCCTGACTGTAGTAGTTCTGTCTGTGGTAACTTTCACATCATAATTGATCGTGAGAAAAAAAAATATGTAGAATATCATATTTTAAGGTCCCAAACAAAATCCATTGATTTGTTTTAAAACATCATGATGGCAGAAGCGTTCAACCCAGAAATAAATAAAGTTCAGAATTTCTAGATATAAAACAACTCCATTAAGAAACTAAAAGAAAAAAAAAAACAATTCAACACCTCAGAAAAAAAATTCAAGAGCATTAAACACTTGTTTGTAATTAAAAATAGGAAAACATTCAACAATAAGAAATCTGAAAAAAATAAGTTGTTAGGGGCATGCAATAGTGCATGCCTGTAACCCCAGCACTTAGGGAGGCAGAGGCAGGTAGATCTCTGTGAGTTTGAGGCCAGCCTGGTGTACAAAGTAAGTCCAGGACAGCCAAGGCTATACAAAAATGTCTTTGACTTCAGAAATAGTATTATCTAAAAATTTTAGGAACATATATTGGCAGTAGAATTTAAGAAGAATTCTAAAAATACTGGTAAAATATGACCAAAAAAAAAAAAAAAGGCCTCTTCTCACTTCTATCTACAATTATAGTCAGAGATAAAACAATGAAAGGACCACTCCATCGAACTTCTGTGTTAAAATTTCAGCTTGTAATCCTCCTTACAATCCACACTCCCAAACCACAGTCATTGGCTGCACATTTTCTTACGCCACTGAACACCATCTACCATGCAGTTCGATTTGCTTACTGTGCTCATTTAACATTGTCTAAACACCCCCAACAGGATGCGAGTTCCTCCCAGCCAAGATCTCTGTTTTAATCGCTGCTCTATCTTGAGGAATGCTCAACAATTATTTTCCATTGAGAAGTTACGATTCAGCAATTGAAATGGACGATACGGACATGATAAACAGATACCTTTACAAAACAATACTGCTGAGTATAAAAAGCTACATGAGGAGTAAAGGCTCCTGCCACAGTGCCATTCGCGTGAAGTTCAAAAGCATACGAAAACTTACAGACATTAAAAGCCACACACATATTGAAAGTATAAGCGTAGGAAAAAGAAAAGGAATATTTAACTGCAGGATAGAATGACCTCTAAGGAGGACCCGAGAGAAACGCAATGGTTAAGGGTCATGAGAGGTTCTTCAGCCCCATCATCTGCCATGCTTTAGTCTCGAAAAGATATTGTGGGGAAGATACTCTGGTGCTTATGTTCTAAGAACCTTCCATGGGCTCGAGGTGCTTCATGCTTTGCTATTAAAATAAACATCTCTAAAAAGTCTCCTACCAGGCGACATGTGTTCAACCATCTTAGTTTTAGTTACATTTGCCGATCTCTCACTCGCCATGAGGTTTCTGTTGTTGTTTTCCTTTTTTAAGCCAGAATTTTTTGAGTCATTTGTAAATAATAATTGAAAGTACCCAGAATCTTGGAGGCAATACTTAGATTAATGTTTGTGGAAATAACATTCCAGTAGGTGTTTAATTTTAGGCCTCATTCTAAATACGGAAGCCTTAATTTTTCCTTTATCACAGTTTTCTGGGTCACACTGAGAAACTCACTCGGAGCAAACCACTCCTTCAGAAGAAGAAAGAAGGACACTGTAGGGGCCACATGGGCGAGGTCTGGTGTCGGCCAGTTGCTATGATGTAAGAGCACAGTATGTGAGGAGAAAGTGGGCTTGAGAATGACGTCAGGTACAGAGGTCACTGGAGTCCTTTCTGGTTTGTTTGGCTTTGGTTTTTGGAGGGTTGTTTTTGTTGTTTTTTGGTTGTGTGTGTGTTCATTTCGTGTTTTAAGTTTTACCTAGGACCATATTATTAGGAAGAGGTAAAACAAGCGCTGAAGAATTTGTCTCTTTGTCTTAATTTTTTCCTCTTTCTTTAAGTAAGTCTGGTCAATCTCAAAACAAAACAATTGCTAATAAATAAACTTAAAATATCATTTTGGTCATTTGCTGATGAATAGATTTTTTTTAGGTATGAATCTTTACTTACCATAACATTTTTATTTTGGAACAAACATCATGATCTAATTTGAAAACAATGAAAAGTTGTCATTCTCTGAACCAAATGCCACTGTGGCATCTTTGTTCTTTCTAATGACTCTGATATTGTTGAGTTTCTTAGATTAAGGACCTCTGGGAGCTCAAGTTGTTAAAAGAAGGAGTCAATGGAGTAAAGGAGATGAAGGGAGAGGATGAGAACACAGAATAGATGAGGGTGAGAGCAGAGTAAAGGGCAAAGGGAAGGGTAAGGGAAGGAGAGTGAAGAAAGAAGGGGGAAGGGAAAGGAAGAAGAGGGGAGGGAAGAGACAAAAGTTAACCCTTTCCCTTCAGTAACAAGAGGGTATCATCAGTTCTCAGAATTGACCTTTTCAGTTCTCTTCTTTGGCCTCAAAATTTGTCAGACTCCGTATTTCCTCCCTGCTATTCTCTCTTTACAGCTAGGAACTGATTATCTTGGAGTCTCGGCTTCCTATACTTTGTGTCTATATTTGTGTCCTCTCTAACAAATAACAGCTGAGACCATCTTCCTGTTGACTATCAACCGGTATTGACCTCCTCGCAATGTTTCCCCATCCATTTCCTACTCAAGTAAAAGCAGTCGTCTGTAATGTTCCCTTATCTGTGCTCTCTGCCAGATCCGATAGTCTTCAAATATCTCTTGAGCAGCCTGATTAATTACTCTGTATCCTGGCAGTCTTTTTAAAATCAACAAGACCTCTTCGCATTCCATCTCAGGAACGCAGAAGTGCTTTTTCTTGACATAGTATTCTGCACAGTCTTTGCTTCTTCTTAGAACACAGGCCTAATGGGGTAGACCCTTTGCTCTACCGATTAACAAATTAATAAATGTAGCAAGGCATTGTCAGAATTTCTTTCCTGTTACAGTCAAAGCAGAAAGGTCAGAAAATTTAAGTGGTTGTTTAAGAATTTTTTAAAAATATGTATATTGGGCCTGGTGGTGCATGCCTTTAATTCAGGAAGCAGAGGCAAGCCTATCTTTATGAATTCAAGGCTAGCCTGGTCTACATAGCAAACTCCAGGCCAATTAGGACTACACAATGAAACCCTATCTCTTTTTTTTTTAAGTACATAAGAAATTGGAAAGCATGTGTTGCTAGCAAAGACACTTATTTGGAACCTGAAATGATGTCAACAAATGATTGATGCCTCGTATATTTAAAATCTCTGATCATCCCAAAGTATCAAACAGTGAGGATGTTTTCTAGAAATAAATTGTTCAGCTTATAATTCCAGGTTACAGTACATTGTTGTGGGTAAGTCCATGTAAAAATTCAAGACCATCATATCACATCTGAGAACAGAGAGAAAGAAATCAGTGTGTGCTTACTTCCTCAGCTCGACTGATGTTTTTTCACTCATACAGCTCAAGTTCCAACCTGAGAAGATGCTGCCCCCATTTGGAGTGGGGCATTACACTTCAACTAATGCAATTAAAAAAAAAATTTCAGCTGGGCATGGTAGCACAAGCCTTTAATCGGGAGGCAGAGGCAGGTAGATAGATCTCTGAGTTCAAGGCCAGCCTGGTTTACAGAGTGAGTTCTAGGACAGCCAGGGCTACACAGAGAGACCCTGTCTCAAAAAAAGAAGAGGGAGGAGGAGAACAAGGAAGAAAGGAAATAAGAAGGAGGAGTAGGAGAAAGAAGAAGAAAGGGGAGGAAGAGAAGAAGAAAGATGACAAGGAGAAGAACAAGAAGAAGGAGAAGAAGAAGGAAGAAGCAAAAAGAAGAAAGCCTCATTACAGGCATGCTCTCAGGCCAACCTGACCTAAGCAATTCCTCACTGAGAGCCCTCTTCCCGAGTGATTCTTAGTTGTGTCAAGCTGACCATTAAAAACAACGCTCGCTTTGGCAGCACATATACTAAAACCGGAGCAATACAGAGAAAATGAGCATGGCGCCTGCTCAAGAATGACACACAAATTCATGAAGCGTCCTGTATTTAAAATAATGATATTCAGCACCACATGCCACAGTGGAAAAGTGTCTCTGCCTATCAGCCTGGGGACCTAAGCTCAATCCACGGAGGTTCTCCTTAAATTGCCTCTGTTGACCCGTGTGCTATTCAGAGTCTTTATCGGAAGAAGTTAGGCAAGCTGCCTAGGCAGGAACAGAGAAATGCCAGCTACATGACTCACGAGCTCTGTTGTGTTGTCGGGTAAGTTACTCGGAAACTGTAGGCATTCCATTAGGTTAAAGCAGGGGCAGAGCTGGACATTCTCAGTGACCAGAGCAGGGGCTGCGTTTGAGAACCCATGAAGATGATGCAACAGAAGCAGCTCATTCCATCCTAAGTCTTAAGTTCCAAGTCACAGTGAATCAAACTAAAACGAGTTGCCACGGAACAATTTTTAACAGTGCATAAAACATTTTATGGCTTCAGAATTTGGTGCAACGAACTCCCGGAGACTTTGCTCCTTTTTTTTCTTTCAATAATAATTATACAAGCTCTTGATTATGCTTATAAAGACCACAGCTAAGTTTCAAATGTAGCGAAAATGGAATTTGGTTTCCCTTTAACACAGAAAGGCAAACTGCTAGTTAGGAAGGGGTGGAAGAAGGGGATGAGAAGATGGCGCGCAGTTATGAGCACTTACTGCTCTATCAGAGGACCAGGGTATGGATCTTGGCACCTGCACTGAGAAATTCATAAGCCTTTGAAACTAAGAGACCTGACACTCCTTTATGGCTTCCTTGCACCTACACGCACAACACTTAAATACAATACAATGTAGTAAGTCTTTTCTTCTCATTTATTTATTTTATTCACTTTATATCCTTGTACCTCCTTCCCTCCTCCCCTCTCAGACTCACCCTCTCTCCTTCTCCTGTGACCCAGAGGAAAAGGGGAGCTCCTTTTTCTCTCCACCCCAGCTCATCAACTTGAATCAGGACTAAACGTATCCTCTTCCCATGTGGCATGCCAAGGCAGTCCCGCCAGAGCAAAGTGATCAAAAAGCTGGCAAGTGCAGCTGTTCAATGCAGTCCCCACTTCCCTTACTAGAGAAAGCATGTGAGGCCTAAGCTGCCTATCTGCTACAACTTTTTAGGGGGCCTACGTCCAATTCATGCATGGTTTTTGGTTGATGCTTCAGACTCAGCAAACCTCTCTGGGCCCTGGTTAGCTGGCTCTGTTGGTCTTCTCGTGGAGTTCCTGTAACCTCCATGTCCTTTTCTCTTTCCTCCCACTGTTCCCCCATACTCCTTAAGCGCTGACCAATGTTTGGCTGTGAGTCTCAGCATCTATTTTGAGGCACTGCTGGGTAGAGCCTCTCAGAGAACAACTCTGACAGGCTCCTGTCTGCAGGTTTAGCAGAGTATCATTCATGGTGTCAGGGGTTGGTACTCTCCGGTACGGTGGGTCTTTAGTTGGGCCACACATCGGTTGGGCATTCCCTCAGTCTCTGCTCTGTCTTTATCCCTGCACATCTCGTAGGCAGGGTAAATTTTGGCTCGAAGTTTTTGTGGGTGGGTTGGTGTCCCCCACCTTTTACTAGAAGACTCGTCTACTTAAAGGATGTCCTCTTCAGTCTTTATGGTCTCTGCTACTAGGAGCTTCTGCTTGAATCCTCCTCCTGTATTTGTATATAGTACAATAATCAAGCAAATTGAAGAGCAATCCCTTTAAACTTTAGACCAGACTCTAGTGCCCATGCTACCTGACAGGCAACCATTAAACACATGTAGCTACCAACATTATGTACTGAAAGTTACTGAGTAGATTAATATTTTTTAAGGTATTATTCAATTTCAATCTAATGTAATATCGATAACCACAGGCTTCCATTATTGAACAATGAAACTTGGGATCATACATTGCATGCTAACTGAAGTAAATTAAGTCTCAGCCATTATTTCATTATTAATAGTAGAAAAGTAAATGAGGACATCAATCTTATACTATCTTTTACAGACACTTTTATTAGTGTCATTAGCTTCTAAGCGACACTCTGAGGTCAGCAGGCAAGTATTATTATCATCTCCATTGCTGATAAGAAAACTGACACACTAGGACATGTTAGGTGGCCTAGGTGACCTGTGACTCCGGCTACTTATTCTTTACACCAGTTGTGAGGAACTAAAAGAATATGGAGCTTAGCAATAAGCCGATCTGAAACTAAGGAATTGCTGGCATGGACAGGGCCCGGACTAACTGACGGTGCTCTGCCAGTCATGGACATCACACCTTCCTTTATACTTCCTCCTCTCTCGTTCCCTCTGCTTTCCATTGTCTGCACCGCCCTTGCTCTTCTGCATCATGCGACCTCAAGTCAGACACTTGCCTGTATTAAAATGGGAATTCTTATATAACAATTGAACAAAGCATCGTAACAGCAACAGGTTTTCTCTGTCTTTGGAAAAACGTGCTGAAACTTGTAAGAATAAAAATAAAATCCATTTTATTGTTTAAATTAGCATAATGAAATATATTAAATTGAATATGTATGATGGATCATAGCTTAGAGGAAAATGAATTGCACATCCCAGTGTCTAGCCAGTGCGCAGACATATTAATGAAGGCGCTATAAAACTGCTTTTGTGATAAGCCTACGCAGCAGGTACTCTGCTAGAGAGATGAGCCTCATGTCACTGAGAAAGACCTTGGTACTGCTAAACAGCTTATGTTTTATACATTTACATTGGAAAGGCAAACGTTGAAATTGGCTATCCAAAACCTAAGCCTGTGGTTTCGTGGATTCTTGATAATTGAAAACAGAACTTTAGTGCACTAAATCCACCTCTTCCGGGCTCCTCGCCATAACGTGCTCCAATCTGAAAACACTTGCTTTAAAAAAAGAAGCCTCTCACACAAAGACAGGAGAGAGAGAGACGGAGAAGAAGAGAAATTATCATCAGTACGCTGTACAACACATACTTGTCACTCGCTGAAATAGTCTTTGCTCAGGTTACTCTTCTGCTAATAACATTTCAACTCCATAAAATAATAAGCTTCCTAAGCCAACCGGCCTGCTTTTGCAATCCGTAGCGGAAGACAGCCCCTGTGTGCAGGCGTGAGACCACTCACTGCCAGTGTTCCCCTTACCCACTGGTGATGTCAAGTTCATGAACCTTGGGCACCCAGTTGTAGGACTTTCTGCTCTAGTCAAACAGCACCTGTAAGAATAGTTTTAATGCAGATGGCTGATATGTCACAAAGGCTGTTAAGGGGTGACAAAAGTGGTACCAAAGGAGGCACTCAGAAAGATGAAAGGGCAGAAAAACTACAGATAGGAAGGTAGTAAGATGCGGTGTTCTTTCCAAATCCATTGTAAGGGTCACACTGGCCTACAACAAAAGATGCATTATAGAAGAAGAGCCTGTTAAATGAATTGAATCAAAGAGTTATGTGACATGGAAGTCTTCAGAGATTAAAGGCACAGAGACTGAGGGGAGACAGTCTGTTTTTATACTAAGGTGAAGAATGGAGAGCCAGGCAGAAATGAGAGTGGAGTTTGATACCGGGCTTAGGCTTGGGAAGGGACCCAGCAAAGCGTGTTGTTCATATGTTTTCTGGCCTCTTTGTGTGGTGTTTCTCTGGCCTGGGTATCCAAGCCCTTTGGAATCATAGACTTCCTGCTGAAGCGAAGGGAGAAAGCAAGCTTGCTAAATTTTATAGAGTGCTTCTATCAAAAAAGGTTCTGGGGTCTATGACTCCCTTAGTCAAAGGACTCACTTCAAGGAACAAAAGTGACAAAAGGAGATAGGCAATAGGAAAAAACCCATCAAGATCTTACTTCTGAACCCTGCCAATATCCTTCACATTGAGGTGGTCAGGATGCCAAGTGCCACACTTTGGAGCATCAGATTTTGACTTCCTAAATAGAGAATTTATAGTTTTGGTTGTGAACACCAGCAAATGCGCTTATGTGGAAAACAGTAATATGGGTGTTCTTTTGACCTGAAGATGTAAGTTGACTTAAGAATTTCCAAATTGCTGTAAGAATTACCCATCTTTTACTCATTTTAATGAAATATTTCTGTTATCAAAGTTTTTTCAATAAAACAGACAAACTTTAACATGTTTGTATTTTTAAATGTTTTTTTTTTTTTTAATGGAGGGAGAGGAGGAATGAGGGAAAGAAGATTTTGGAAATTTTTGCTATTTATTTTATTCCTTCTCTTTGCAAACTCTTTCCTCTTAATTCATTCTATGACATAATTATCATGAGTACGAGAGATCTCCTTCAGTTGATCTTCTAGTTTGTTTTAATCTAAAATATGAAGCACTATTTTAGCACTCTGAACTTAACATATTGCAACTGTTCTCTTGGCTTGATTCTAATCATTAACCAATTTAAAGGAATCCATCCGCCTTGGTAGCCCAACTGTTGATCATGACTTATTGACTCATGAACAGCTTGGCTGTTGTGTTGTTTAATGTCTAGTCTTGCACGTATGTTCTTGTGCGCATGGAGAAGGTTTTCCCTCTAGTACCTAGGATCGCTGGCTTCTTACCGATGCACATCCTTAGCTTGTCCAGATCCAGATAGTGGTAGACGCTATTTAATGTGGCTGCCTATTGTTTCCCATCTGCGTCCCTTTATAGTTCACTCACAACACAGTCACCCTGTAATGACGTGTCACATCATATTCTCCTTTGCTCAAGACCCTGCAACACCTCCCGGTTCGCTCTGAACAGCTGACAGATCCCTAACGAGTCCCAGCTCGCCTCTGCTATGAACTTCCTGCCCTTACTTGCTCTTCTTTAAAAATACTTCCCTACTTTAGGGACTTTGTCCAAGTTTATGAATCCTGCACCTTCATTGTTTAAAACGTCCTCTTAACAATGCGTCTACCACACATTCAGTGGCTGTTTATTCATTGATTTTCCCCTGTTATAGAACTAGCATCCTTTGCTCTCCGAGGCAATATAAACACTCAATGCGCCACTTAACTTATTCTATCCTCTAGTGTCTTATCTACACTAGAATATCATCTTCATGAG